GGGGCTCCAGGGGTGAAACCCCTACCCCGGCTTGGGCCACGGGGATCCCCTCGTGACAACACTGTCACGGCGTTTTATATCCGTGGAGGAGGACGCCAGACAATCTATAACATCATTTAGCAATCGCGACACATTGATAAGGGAGGGAATCAGATAGAAATCATCCGGCAATCGACGCATGGCGCGTATCCAGATTATCAAGGAAGCCTGAGAAGTCATAAGCATTTGGCAAGGGATATGCTTTCTAGAGTTATTGTTGTTTTTTTTTACCAAGTGGTTGTCAGAACTTAGCCCATATCGATGTAGAGTGATTGGATAGGTATTACGTTACGACTGTGTATCAGTCTTTGGCAGTTTTACGGCCTAATGCAGTCAGTTTTACTGCCTGCTAAAGTCCATTTTACGGCCTGGTGAAAGTCCATTTTACGGCCTGGTGAATTTCCACACTGCTCTACTCGCTCGGGTTTTGTGCTATTGACTGCTTACGGAAGGTCTGCTTCAGATTTGGTAGTTATTAATTAACTTGTTATTTATTTATTTGAACAGGTCCTTATGGTTCTGGCTCCATATCCATTATGGGGGGTGTCAGTCCGGTTCCTATTTCCCCGGCAAGTGTGTTGCACATTATTATTGAAATGACCAGGGACTTGTTGAAAAGATCAATATTCTGTTGAAATCTGAAGCTTGAAAGTTGAAGCCACACAGTAAAACCATTCTGCTGGCTACAGTTTTGGTCCTCCTTGTGTGCCTTTGGTGTTCAAAAAAAAAAAAGAAAAAAAAGTTGAACCAAGTAAATTGGTGGTTAAACGTAACGGAAGTTAACGGTCAAACCAATGAAACCATCCAATTAGGGTTTACGATGTTATTATACTTGCTCAGCATGAAGCTCTTCTCTAAACTCTGTGGAATCTGGACAGTTAATAATCACCCCCTCTCTCTACTGCACCCCCCCAGCATAACGGAAGTGTTTTTTTTTTTTTTTTCCCAGATGGAAGTTGACCACACACACAAAAAAAAGAAGGCAGAAAAAAAGAAAAGAAAAGAAGAAAGCAGAAATTAAGAACTTCTTCCTCCTCCTTTGTTCCTGTGCTACTTTCTGCATCTTTCCTTTCATATATATATATATGCCTCCTGATGAGTCGGTGAAACTCCGACGAAACAGTTTGTCACAGCCCCTTGTTTGTTGTCCTCTTCTCTCTCTCTGCCTACGGTTTACCGGGCAGTTCTGTTTGTGACGATATATGCTACTTTGATTTTGGTTAAGGTAGATTATCATTTACAGTGTAATCAGTGAGGGGATTCTGCAGACTGTTGAGGGTTTAGCCTCCTGATGAGTCGGTGAAACTCCGACGAAACAGTTTGTCACAGCCCCTCGTTTGTTGTCCTCTTCTCTCTCTCTGCCTACGGTTTTACCGGGCAGTTCTGTTTGTGACGATATATGCATATATATGTGTATATATATATATATGTCCTCGGTTGTGCGGCGATTACAACTCATGTCTCCAGACCTTTGTTGATGAACTGCGCAGGGACATGAGGTGCCACTTGGCAACAGAGGCTACAGCATTTGGGACCGGTTTGCGCAATGCCAGCACTGATAACATGCTACAGTCTGGGAAGATATCATGAGATGATATCTTCTCACAACATGATGAGTTTTTATTTGAGCGGTGAGGATCTTCTCATGAGATCATGAGAGGATATCAACTGTGAGGGGCTTTTATCGTCCCATCCTGCTGTTCCAGGTCGGTTGGTTGGTACAGGTCCGAGCAGAGTTCGGCATTGGGTTCCCGTGCAGCTCTTGCATTGGTACTGGACTGAGCAGTTGTGCCTTGGGCTGTCAGATCAGACCACCTGCAGCGTACGTCTCCCCTGGACAACTATGGGCGCCTCTCAATCGCTCGATGATGTGGAACAGGATGAAGAGGAAAGCCCCATCGCTGATTATGTTTCTCTTCCTCGCGAGTCACATAATTTGACGCCGGTCCCATTAGGACCACCACTCTTGAAACCGGATGCCAGCCAATTTGTCCCCAACTTGAAAGAGCAGAGTGATGCTCCGAATGAAGTGAAATCGCGTGGCCGACAGTTGTCCCAAGCAGTGCATCGGTATTCTGACGAGAGGTTGTCGCCAACGAGGTCGTTGTCATCGTCGTCATCGTCGTCGTCATCGTCATCCTCAGGACATCTATCATCGATGGGGTTGTATGGCTCTTCGAAGCAGTTGTCGTTTTCATCGTCTCCATCCACAGCAGCAGCAGCAACAACCTTCTCCCCATCCCCATACAGCTCCTCAACCATTTCGCCATTATGTAGACCTAGTGGCGTGCCTCATCCTGCACCACCGTCCACGCCTATCGAACACAGCCATGCGCACTCTATTCTGCAGAAGTCGCTCAATTTTCAGACGGGTTTGATCTCGCATTCTCAGCCTGGCTCTCCAAGAATGGCAGCGATCCAGCGTGAGCCGTGGACAGAAGTATATCTGATCCGTCATGGCGAAAGCACTATGAACCTGCAGCCAACAATTATCAGCGGGCGATCGCCTGGGGCGCTGCTGACAAATCGAGGCCGAAAGCAAGCGCAAGCCTTAGGAGTTTTCCTTCGAGATTATTCCGGGATCAAGTTTGATGCGATCTATTGCTCACCGCTGGAGAGAGCAAGAGCAACAGCACTGGCAGTTTGCGAGGTGAGGAAACGGTGCAAAATATCCAGAGTCTGCCAGCTTGGCGCAATAAGAGAGATTAATCATGATGATGCTCAGAAAGAGCAGAGGGGATGGACCTGGGGGCAAGGGTTGCACGGGAGGGGGGAGGAAAGGGGAGGAAGGGGGAGGAAGGGGGAGGAAAGGGAAGGAAGAGGGAGGAAGGGGGAGGAAAGGGGAGGAAGCTGGAGGAAGGGGGAGGAAAGGGGAGAAAGAGGGAGGAAGGGGGAGGAAGGGGGAGGAAAGGGGAGGAAGAGGGAGGAAGGGGGAGGAAGGAGGAGAGTGGAAAGAACTCGTTGATATCGTCAGGCCGGAGTAAATAACAAGATGGGGCACGGCCTGTGGGAATTTCAACCCAGCGGGTGTCCGCCAAGCCCATCCGCAGATGCAACGTCTCAACAGCGAACAACAACATGGACCTGAGGCACAGGGCCAGGACTCGGAAACCCCATGTGACACCAGGGGCTTTTCCACCTAAAGCACCCTGGTCCCTACGGAGCTTGAGCCCACTCAGGAGTGTGTATTTGTGTAATGTGTGTGTGTGTAGTACTGTGGCTATGAACTATGAAAGAGCGCACTCTCCGTAACGAATGCAGAAAAGAGCAGACACCATAAGGCATGCTGAAACCGCTCTTTTGTTGTCTTTTCATTCCTTCTTTTGGCCCTTTCACAGTTTCTCTTTTATTTCTTCTTTTGCTACCTCGGTGTAATATATCTCTATACCCTTTAAAGTTAGAGCGGTCCCGCCGTCACACGCAGCCGTGGCCCCACGGAAAATCACAGGACAGGCGGAACCGGAGCAGGCCGTCGCGTGAGGGCGGGACGGGCAGAACCGGAGGAGGTCGCCACGTGCGGCGAGGTAAAACGCCACCGGGCCCGTGGGAAAAAGGGCGCGCTGCGTGTGCCGAGGTGAGACGGCGCGGGCCCCGTGGGAAAAAACACGCGGGGGGGGCGTGCAGAGGGAAGAGTGTGTGTGTGTGTGTGTGTGTGTGTGTGTGTGTGTGTGTGTGTGTGTGTGTGTG